CCCGCAGGATAATTTCTAATTACTATTAGATCTGGCCCGCCGGTATATTGCACGCACACCTTCACTCAATCCTGAGGGTTTCCTCCGCTCAGAGTCTGACCCCAAACATTGATGAACTTGCACCGAAGATGAGATGCCAAGTATCTGCTTGAGCTAGCATCACAGAGCAGCAGCACACTGAGTTTAAATGGATGTTTCCTTCTGCACTTTTTCTCTCACGACAACAGGGCATGTTTGGTTTTTTCTTTGAGGGGAATTGTTTTTTTGAAGCTGTTGTTGGCCTGTGGAAAAATGTCATCATAAGAAATGACTGCAACTGATTATTTAATGTTTAATGTTGTTTTTATAGGCAATAATTTAAGCTTAGTTAGTTCCAGGTTTAATATGTGTAATAAGTTCATTTCAATACATTTTGCAATAAACATTGAACCAGTCCGGCCCTCCACTAGTACCCATTTTTTTATTTTGGCCCACTGTGTATTTGAGTTTGACCCCCCTGACCTCGAGTTTCTAAACTCCATGATTGTCGTTGGCAAGTTGCATTTCTGGTGGTGAAACAATAAAACAACTGAACACAATAAAACCAGGAAATCCTGCAGTGTGTTGCGCTGTAAGCCAGATGATACGTCAAACAGCGGAAGAGGATTTGAAAACGTTCCTAGGAGTGTGGAGCACTGGCACAAAGACCCTGGCAAAGTCTACTGGACCACAAAGCCATGTATGAATAGGAAAGGACAAAGAGAGAAATAAACAGAGGGTGAGAGCTCGCTTAGGATTTGTAACTTTATTTTAAATGGACGTATCGTACCGAGAGCAAAGACATGAACAGCTGAAGGCGTCAAACTAAAACAAGAAGTAACATATTTGTGTGTAAAGAGAAGGAAACACACTGCTTCAATTGTATTACTTTATCTGTCAATCAATAAACAATTTCATATTCTGTATACTTTGAAGATTTTTTCTCAGAGCATAATACTTAATCGTGCTCTTATAAGAAAAAGAAAATGAGTGTCTTGAAATGTATTCAAGTCACAAACATATGGTGTGTGTTTGATGTTGTTACAATCTGCACATTCAAATATAAACAGTATAATGATAGCCTATATGGAGTTAAGCTGAATATCTGACTAGCTATGCAACAAATGCTTCACAGCCTAAAGCAGGGGGGTCAAACTCAATTTCATCGCGGGCCACATCAGCATTATGGTTGCACTCAAAGGGCCGGTTATAACTTTAAGACTATATAAAAATACATGTATAAATATTTAATATAAACGTATATATTATATTACATTATTGCCTCTGCATTGGATTATTATGGGATAGGGTAATAACTTCATAATTAACTACATCTGAAAGCAGAAGTCTAGGGCAAATCATTGGAAGTCTCTTCAATGAGAATGTCACAAAATGATTAAAAAAAAAGCCAAATTGAAATTTTGAAGCAAAAAAGTCAAATTCTGAGAAAAAAGTCAAATTCTGAACAAAATTAATATTTGAGATGCATTGTGGGACATGTAGTTTATGGGCAACGTGCTTCTGTAACCGTATAATAAACGTATTATATTCTTTCAGAGCTCTTGTGGGGCCACACGAAATGAAGTCGAGGGCCGGATTTGTACCCCGGGCCTTGAGTTTGACACCCCTGGCCTAAAGTGATCTTTTAATTTATGTTCTAGTATTTTCTCGTGTGATTATATGACAAAAAAATAATGAAACCGTTTGTCTTTTTGTCATATCTGCCTTCTGAACTGTCCATAAATACCTGTAATGAGTTCTCCTCTTAAAAATGAAACCTTGAGGGCTCCTTTGCTTTCAAGGACAGCCAGGATTTACAACATGCAACACCTGAGATGCCTCACAGCGTCTGTTACGTGTGAGGAATGAGCCCGGTAGAGTTGAAAGACTTGAATGGGGTCGTGTTTCTCTTTGTGTGTCAGAGGGCTTACCTCCTCGGCCTCAGAGAGGATGCTGTTGTAGGGCAGCGCTGCGTCGCAGTCTGGGATGTAATCCTGACAGTAAGTCTCTGCTGCTCGGGGGTCATCGACTATCAGCAGCTGCTGGATGTCTCCCTGCGTCACGAAAACATAAAACAAACAAAAACTGAACAAATATGTGAATTCTATCATAAAAAATAAGCTCCCTTTTTTTATATTCTAAAGCAAAAGCAGCAAATCTTCACATTGAAGACACTTAAACCGGAATACTTTTTCAATTAAAATAATTTAAGCAAAATTGCTGCCACTTAATCTTCTTTGAGCTGCTCTTAACATCCCGATAGCAATGAATATATTAAATGCTTTGACAAAAAATCCATAACAAAATGTCATCTGTGGAAGCCGTGGTGCTGTAAAAAGCACGACCAATCATCTAAGCCGGCCCGGCTAAAGTAACTGGATGACCTACCTGCCTGTCAGCCTTCCATCTGTGCACAAACTTATCTCGTGCCCTCATTGGTCATGTGCGTTCGTGTGTGTTCGAGGAGGAGCTCTGTAAGGAAGTCTGAAGGAAGGGGCAGATTTCTTTCGGCTGTGTACTTTCAAATTCTAGCACACTCGAGCTGGTTTCTCCATTCTTACCTACCCTACCTTTAAGTTACTTAAATATAATGGTGAATGGTTGGATATATAAAAGATAATCATATTTTAAAAGGTTTTTGGAAAGTAATAAAGTAAAGTAAATACATCAGTAAAATAAATGCAGTGGAACCAACAGCACAACACCAAAACGTGTAGAAGTATAAAGTACAATAAACTGAAAATACTCGGGTGCAGCAAAAGTACCTATAATTTGTACTTAGGTAAGCTTCCACTGTATACTTGTGCCAGATTTGCTCCAGTTTGTGACTCTTGCGACCTCAGATCCAGTGCGGACTGAGGCTGGAAAAAGGAGTCTTTTTCATTATGGTCCTTGGTCTTGGAATGACCTTCAATCACGCCTCAAACTGACGGCACTTGTCCCTATAGCTTGTTTTAAATTGAAGTTGTCTGAGGTCCTTACCACCAGCTGCTCTTGCAGTAATAAGTAGTGCACTTTTCTTACTGTCCTAATGTGCACAATGTAGTGACTGCTTTTCGTCTTTAAGTTTACTTAGTTGTGTTCTCTGTATTTGATATGTCTGTGTTATGTGTAAGAATGTGTAACGTTGCTGCCTTCTTGGCCAGGTCAGCATTGTAAATGAGATTTTGTCTCAATGTTTTCATCTGGTTAAATAAAGGTTAAACATTTTTTTTTTTTTTTTTTAAAGTAGTCGAGTATATGAACTAAGTTCCACTACTGCATAGGAAACGTCATTTGTTAAAGTGCATCCTTTTTAGTGAAAAACAAACAAACAAAAATAACGTAAATATGAATCATATGTAATTATAAGTCCCTATGCAAACAAAAAGGGATACATTTGACTTTTCTACCTTGATAACGAGCCAGAAGGCTTTGCCAAGTAAAACATTTTTATTAAGGGCAACATTCACCAAGCTTAACTGATTGTGATTGTATTTTTAACACGATCCACCATTTAATCCTTAATAGTGAAAGCATATCAGGAATGCAGAATATGTAACAGCTCTTCATTGACCATTAATTAATTGCTGACATGTCAAAAACATCTGTCTGCCGGGTCTTTAGCTCCGACTGTATGTGTTCATTTGGTCAGATCAAAGCGACTTAACGGGCCGCTTTTATCATCGCTCTGCAGTTAATCGTCTCCAGAGCTGCAGCCTCAAGTGGAGCCATAACAGAGAGACAGCAGAAGGTCTTTCAAATCCACACACATGTAAGGGAGTCCAGGCCAAACATGAGCTGAAGGTTTGTTCAGTTAAACAGATGGACCACCTGACATTGCACTCAAAACACTTTGAGTTCACACTTGGGTTCTGACAAAATGACCTCCCACTGCTGAGGACACAATAAAAACAAAGCTCATAAAAGTCAGATAAGGTTTAACACAGCTACAGATTTGGAGAGCCTTTCCCAGAGTGCATTGTGAATAATGTGCTGCATGTTGTGAGCTGTAGCAGGACTGCAGGATGAAGGACATTACATTACATCTCATTTAGACTTACAATAAGTGCATTCAACCATGAAGAAACAAACTCAAAAGCAAGAAACCTGAAGGTACCTGATGAACCAGGAGAAAAGCACATAGTGTAGGGCGTCTACAAGACAAATTATCTGCCATATATTTGACCTCTGCATACATTTACTCAATAATCAGCAGCATTATAAGATCATGATTTGTAGCAGAGGTAAAGATGCAGTACATCCTCACCGCCACTGGAGGGCAGTAAAGGAGACAAGCCTTATTCATTTGATGGACAAATTAAACAAGCCGCAACAAGCAGAGACGCTTCCTTACCAAACAAAGAGAGCTTATGGTGTGTTATCGTTCTTTGTATCTGTTGCCAAGTCTTTTTGTCAGTTTTTCCTAACGTTTCCTAGAGTTTCCACCAAACAATGAAGACAGTATCACCTCCATTGTTTGCCCTCTATGTCTTCTTACATAAAACACATATATACATATGCACACACCTCGAATACTTCCTCGTCTAGCAGGCGTGTGCCGAACACAGTGACCCCCTCGGTGCTGACGTGGGAGTCGTGACCTCTGAGCAGCTCCAGGGTGTCGAGTCTGACGCAGTCCAGGTACAGAGTCACTGACTCGCCCTCCACACTGTAGGCCACTCGGTGCCACCTGGAGAAGAAATTCAACTTATTTTCCATCTTTTTTAGCAGAGACTAAGATTCAAGGCTTTTATTGTCATGTGCACATAGCTACAGTGTAGATGTAACAATTAATATCTTAGGTCACAGGCTCCTCCAACAGTGTACACAATACAACAGGTCAAATAGTTAAAATAGTGAATACAAATAAAATAGAATAGTGCAAGGAGAGTCTATATGCAAGTAATTGGAATATGATATATTAGATCATATTTACAAGTTGCAAAACAGTTGAATGTTTTCAAAAGTACAGGTGTTGAATAGTCTTATGGCCTGTGGGATGAAACTGTCCTGGAGTCTGGTGGTTTTAGTCCTTCCTTCCTGCAGCGGTCAAACTATATAACCACCACGGCCCCTAGTAGACCCACAACACACACACACACACACACACCACACACACACACACACACACACCCACACACACACACACACACACACACACACACACACACACACACACACACACACACACACACACACACACACACACACACACACAACACACACACACACACACACACACACACACACACACACACACACACACACACACACACACACACACACACACACACACACACACACACACACACAGACTATAACACCCCTTGCTGTTAAATACCAACCAACTATGAGCAATATGTGTAATATGTGCAATATATATATATGCCGTTATTAACTGTGCAATATATACTTGGCTGCTAAATCTTCAGAACTGTTACATATATTATACACATATTTATGTATATATGTATGTATGTGCAGGGGCGCAAGGGGGTGAAAAGTTAGGACGATTCTAAGGGCCCGTGACTGACAGGGGCCCAAACAATTTTAGAATATTAAGAAAAAAATGTTTAAGTAACCAATGTAATTATCTTTTCATGGGGCCCAAAATCCCTGGCGGCGCCCCTGTGTATGTGTGTGTGCTTGTATTTATGTATATAAATATATATGTGTGTGTGTTTAAGTAGATACATGTGTGTGTGTTTAAGTAGATACATGTGTACATGTGTAGATATTGTCATTTCAAACAACCCCTGTGTATTCTTTCGTTTATATTTTATTTTACTAATTTTGTTTATTATTTAGTATTTAATTTGTCATTTTCGGGTCTCTAAACATATATGATTTGCAAAACTGCATTTTTAATATAATCCCAAATAAATAAAGAATTACAAAAAAAAGAACTGTTACAGGATGTGTATTTCGTAAACTGTGTAACTTTTTTTATTATAATTTGTTTATCTTTAACACTTTTGCATGCATGCTTCTTAGGTCACATTAAGCTGTTACAATGCAAATGTCCCCTCTCTGGGCAGAGACAGAACCGTTTGTGGCTGGGGTGACGGGGGTCTTTTGTAATCCTGTCTTGTGTTTGAAGTTGAAGTCAAAAATCGAAGGCTAAAAGTGTGTGAATGGATGCGTGTGTAGTTACCCACTTGCCATCAGCCAGGTTGATCTTTCTGAAGGTGGGGTAGAGCTCTGGGGGGGGGCTGACCCTCATGGTTCTCATACAGGAAGACGGGAGAACGGCCGATCTCCAAACCCAGCTGCTGTGTGCCCTGAGAGACCAAAAGAAAGACGTTGTTTTAATGCAAAATTAAAAGAATACTATCAACAACTTCCAGCTACTGTCCTTAGGTTCTTCATATTTGGAATATACTTGATATCTCATTGTAAAAGAGATATTCCATTGACATAATATATTCAAATAAAATGTAATATTGTGTTTTAATTGTGAGTTTTTTCTGTGATGAAGCGCTATTGTATTTTTTCTTTAAATGCCATCAATTTGCCAGGGACTGCAGATGAAAATGTGCCTCGATGGCTAAATCTGCCACATTTACATGATGAAGTGCTCATGTTAATTAATGTGCATTGTCACTTCTTAAATAAATACAAAAGATATGTAAATGTACACCCTCAATCAAGATTCAGCGGATTTATACGTTTTTTGGCAAATCTTCAAGAACATTTTGCAGGACTTGCAGAACATATTTCCATTTAACGGACAACCTGTGATGCTGATCCAATCTTGCCGAGCGCATGGTTGGAAAGGATTGTCAGCCTGTGTTAGTACGCTGGACACCATGAATTATCTCATTAAAGTAAATGGTGAATGGACTGCATTTATATAGCACTTTTGGAGTCTTTGCAAACCCTGAAAGCACTTTTACTTTTGCAAGTCATCATTTACCCATTCACAAACATTCATACAGAGGCAGCCACACGAGAGGTTCATCCCAATGTCCCTCCTCGACTCCTCGACTCCTCTCTCCTCGATCACTTGAGCCGGAAATCGATTAACACAAGCCACGATAAAGGACATCCCAATTGCTCTAGGAGAGAGGAGGGAGGAAGCTACCAGAGGAGACAGGGAGAGGGAAACACGAGTGCTAAGACTCGAGGAAGAGAGGCAAGTGAGGGAAGAGAGGAGGCCAAATCATGTTTTGGGATGAACCTAAGGTGTCACCTGCGCCGGGGAGACTCACATATTCACACACAACATTGCCCAAGGACACTTAAACATGCTGACTGCAGGGGTCAGGGATCAAACCGCCAACCCTCCAATTGGCGCCAAAACTCTCTAACTCCTCAGCAACATGCAACAAAGAATGAAATACATCAACAGTTTGTGATGAACACATTGAAAACATGCCACGGTATCAAACATGATGTCGGCTTTAGGGAACATTTGGCTTCAACGTCCTGATGTGGCGTTTCATGGTGCATACCTCCGAGTCGAACAGGGAGAGGAGAAAGACCTGAGAGCCTTTCACAGCTCTGACTGTTGTCATCACGGAGAAGTTCATCGGGAATGGAGAATCTGAAAGAGATGCATACATTAGGTCACGTTCTCTCATTGGTTAAATACATTCATAATAACCCAGGTATATTACCAGGGAAGAGTTGATTGGTGGGTGCGCTCAGTTGAATCCTGTCGATCTTATAGGAGAGGTCCGTCTCCCCTCCTCCCTGCCGGCTGGTGCAGAGCCCCGACTCCAGCGACACGCCCTCCATGTCGTCCGACAGCTCCAGCAACTTCAGGACATCAATGGGCTTTGCTGCGTAAAGAGACAGGAAACAGTAAGGATGAGAGGATAGGTGGTTTTGATCTGCTGCTTCTCAAGAGGGCGCTCACATGGCCAGGATATCAAATCAGATCAAATCAACATTTATTGTAGCTCCAAATCACAAGAAATGCCTCAAAGGGCTGAACAAAGCAAACAAAAGCATGAAAATAGCATAGAAATTATAAAAACATTATACCTCAACATTATACCTCAACATTATACCACAACATTATACCTCAACATTATACCTCAACATTATACCACAACATTATACCACAACATGATACCTCAACATTATACCTCAACATTATACCTCAACATTATACCTCAACATTATACCTCAACATTATACCTCAACATTATACCACAACATTATACCTCAACATTATACCTCAACATTATACCACAACATTATACCTCAACATTATACCTCAACATTATACCTCAACATTATACCACAACATTATACCTCAACATTATACTCAACATTATAAACCTCAACATTATACCTCAACATTACCCAACTTATACCAACAACATTATAACCTCAACATTATAACCTCAACATTAATACCTCAACATTATAACCACAACATTATCCTCAACATTATACCTCAAACATTATAACCTCAACATTATACTTCAAACACTTATACCACAACATTATACCACAACATTATACCACAGACATTATACCACAACTTATACCTCACATTATCCACAACATTATACCAAAACATTTATACCACAACATTATACCCTCACATTATACCACAACATTATACCACAAACATTATACCACAACATTATACCTCAGAAACATGATACTCAACATTATACCTCAACATTATAACCTCACATTATACCTCAACATTATACTTCAACATTATACCACAACATTATACCTCAACATTATACCTCAACATTATACCTCAACATTATACCTCAACATTATACCTCAACATTAGTATTGCCATGTGATAAAAGCATGTGACTGAAGTGATGGTAATGATGAGAAACTAGGTGATGGGAAGACAGATGCGAAGAGATGGGTTTTGAGTTTGCTTTTAAAGGAGTCAGCGGAAATAGCTTTTGCGGATCTGAAATGGTAGACGATTCCAAAGAGGCCACTATGGGTTAACCACGACATTCCAGATTTAAGCTACTGAAGTAAAGAAGAACAATGTATTGCCTTTGTCCCTCCAGAATAGCAAACAGTGACCTCCTCTGCTTCGATTGTTGAGAAACAGACAATAGACATGGTCGAACTTGAGCTGCACCAGCAAAGACATTCATATCTGTGCTTGGTAACGTGTATGACAACTAAACAATCGCACTTCATATTCTGACAGGGGGTTTAGTTAACGATGTCTTGCTATCTCACACCAGCTTTATAGCCAAAATCACCACATCAGGACCCTTTGTTTGGAAAGAAAAACCCAGACAAACTCATCTTCAAGCTTCAAACAAGAAATAAGATGCTGTAAAAGCCAATGAGTACAAATATGTTTCAGCGTCCTCTTTGAGATGGTGTTGAATTAAATACATTGGACAGAAATTGGGAGGGAGTTTCATAATTTTGGCCAAAAACAAAGCTTTTTCAAAATGAAGAAACTCCCTCTGGAGAGAACGTTGGCATTTTAGCTTTTGCAGACCATTTACATGCACTGAAAGCTATTTAACACATTACAGGAAAGGCAAAACCCCAAAAAGCCAAATAGGGCCCGTTTAAAAGAATGTAGTTGCTACAGTTTAAAAAGACAGTTGTTATTTGTAAATTAAAAATCATCAGCCTTTGTTCAAGTTATTTATGTTGCATTTTATATTATTGCTAACTTAAAGCAGAAGTACTGTTGCTATGGTTACCTTTAGTTCAACACACTTTGCTCATTGATTTAAAACAGCAGTGCTATTGTTGACTGTAAAAGTGTTTCTGTTATACTTGTTTTTAAAGATTCACCACTTAATGTTTTTTATTTAAACTAGTTTTAGACCCTTTTACCTAATCTGACTCAAACTCATCTCTCATTAACCTCTTTCCAACCAATCAGACAGCCATTTGAAGCTGACAAGCTCTAATTAAAGCACTGTGCACTTCCTGTATGAGCGTGATGTTACCTCTGAGAAATGTGTGTGATTATGGCCTTATTATGAAGCGTTATCAGTCAGAGCATGTGCAGAAGCTTGGTGTAATCATATATTAACGCCTTTCTTGGCACATGCAACAGTCTGCATCACACAACAAGACTACGCCAGAGGGCAATAAATTAATACATGTGTTTTAACGATGATTCAGCCTGAGATCACACACACACGCACACACATGTAACAAGCAATAGAGCTAATTAGAATTGCTTGAGGCACTTCTAAAGATGTGGCTAGAGTTGAATCGTTAGCAGAAATGCATATGCTGGCACACATTCTTCTGAAACGCTGTCGACACAAAGGTCAGAGATCTGTGGGACGGACTAAGCAGAAAAAGATGGAATGTAAAAGACGAGACAGGAGATAAATGAGCAACATATTGAAAGTGAAAAGGGAGAGAAGGGGGTAAAGAGGGAACAATAGAAGAAAGAAGAGATGGCAGGGGAGAGGAGGGCATGCCTCTACTGGTGTGGCTTCTTTTCACACGTATTTCTGGGGCTTACGTAAACCCTACATCTGCTTTGCACCTTTCTACACACACACACACACACACACACACACACACACACACACACACACACACACACACACACACACACACACACACACACACACACACACACACACACACACACACACACACACACACACACACACACACACACACACACACACACACACACACACACACACACACACACACACACACACACACACACACACACACACACAACGTTGGCATAGCATCTGAGTCTGAGCGCCAGATGTATTTGTCGCACTTTTTTTGTTTTGTTTGTCTGCTTGTACATGTGTTGGTCTGATGGCTGCCAGCTGGTAATTCTATCTATTGTGTGCAGGGGCATCATCATGTTAACTGATACAGCTGCTTATTAAAACTTGCTAAAAAGGTTTTTATTAATGTTTGTGGCTGAGAAAAGAGATCGTTTTGTGCTCTGATTGCTCACTGCAGTTCCAACACAAAACATACGCTGAGTGACCACGAAAATAGAAACACATGCACAACATCAGGAGGATGCGTCCCCAGCTGACCCAGAAAGCGACTCAGGTTCTGGTCCAGGCTCTCGTCATCTCACGCCTAGACTACTGCAACTCCCTCCTGGCTGGTCTACCTGCATGTGCCATCCGACCTCTGCAGCTCATCCAGAATGCAGCTGCTCGTCTGGTCTCCAACCTTCCTAAATTCTCCCACACCACTCCGCTCCTCCGCTCCCTTCACTGGCTTCCGGTAACTGCTAGAATCCACTTCAAGACACTGGTACTTGCTTACCATGCTGCGAATGGATCTGGCCCTTCCTACATCCAGGACATGGTTAAACCGTACACCCCAGCGCGTGCACTACGCTCTGCATCAGCCAAACGACTCGCTGCGCCCTCGCTGCGCCCTCGCTGCGAGGGGGACCCAAGTTCCCATCGGCAAAAACACGTGGGTTTGCTGTCCTGGCTCCAAGATGGTGGAATGAGCTCCCCATTGACATCAGGACAGCAGATAGCTTACACACCTTCCGGCGCAAACTGAAAACTCATCTCTTTCGACTCCACTTCGAGCGTTAGAACTATTAACGAAGCACTTTTATACTAATAAAGGACTGGCTTACCTAAAGCCAGTTGAGTAGCACTTGAAATGTTTTTGCTCTATGAAACCTGATGTACTTATATGATTCTGTTTTCTTCAAGGTTGTATCTTCTTGGTCGAACGCACTTATTGTAAGTCGCTTTGAATAAAAGCGTCAGCTAAATGCAATGTAATGTAATGTAAAGCAATAGTTCTACAGTGTAAAAGGTTTTTGTTGAGATTAATAATGGAGCTGTTTTGGATTTGATTTGATTTGTAAGTACAGTTTGAAGCTACGTTTTGTGACAGTGATGTATTGTTCTACATGTTATTGAAAGGTCATCTCCATCACATGAATGGAGCAGAGACATTTTGAACCTTAAGATGTATTGAAATCCAATACAACATCACACACAACCTCAAATATGACTGCAAATAGAGGGAAACGGTTAGACTGGATCTGGTTTTGAGGTTATAATTAGTTTTTTTGCTGAACCATTTATTTTCTGAACAGACATCTATGAGGTATATTTTGACTGTTGACAAAAAGGTGAAATAGCTAACTATTAAACGAAGGTGCAGCACAACATAACATTTCTATAAAACGTTGACAGAAAGAAACAATATGAAATAACTGTGCGACTGTAGTGCTGCTCAGTTTGGACATTAAGGACAGGGATGATTCTCTGTGGTTCTGCTGCTTTCATCCTGGTCTGATTAACTGTCAGTCATATCTTTCTCCTTAAACTATTCCTTTAAAATCCTACCACCATGTTATTCTCAATGTCAAACATCTAAAGCACATTTGTTAACTGACTACATGATTGTATTCGAAGCATATTACAACAAAACGGTTATATATTTTTCTTGTCAATTGTTAGAACGATAACCAGCTCACGTGCTTTACTCAAAGCTCATACACAGGTTCATGTGTAGCTGCTAGTGTTCAGACATGTTTGAGCCGCGCTTAGATTTAAGGTGACTCCTGACACTCATCAGTTGTGTTTAAGAAGAGGGGTTTCAGTCGTACATACCAAGAACTGATCCGACATCTGAATGCAGCAGAGGACAAGACGAGACATGGAAACTCTTTGCCCTCACTCTAAAAGCACTTAAACACATCGGGTAAGGTTCCTCAATGCTAGTAATGTACATGTAAGTATGTGCAAGGCATATACTGTATACAAAAGGTGCAAGCAAAATAAAGCATCCACATTGTGACTGGGCATCTGCACATACACACATATTGTAGTGGGCTGCACATACACAGGGG